TAAGATTTATATTTGGATATAAATTATTGTTTTTATTGATAAGCCTAGTATTCTAGCAATGATCAAGAAAGATAAAAAATTCAAGTTTACTTATATAATGTTAATTTATAGTTATAATTATAGATTTTTTATATTTTAATAATATATTAAAAATATATAAAATATATTATTTTAATTAATATTTTATATATTTTTTAAAATATGACAATATAAAAAATTAAAAAATAAAACATTATTAAATAAATACTAACAATTACATTAATTTTTTTATTAGTAAAAATGAATTTTACCACAAACAAAATTTTACGTAATCGGGGAGCTTCGTGGCCTTTCGGTGAAAAATAATATATTAAACCAACTGCTTGGGACGCGTAAGAGGTCCATAATACTCCAGAGCATCACGCATTCACGCGCAGTAGATTGTGCGTAGCCCGTGGGATAAGGCACCACACCGGAACAGCGGTGCCTGCAACGGGATTGACACCGTTAGAGGTTCCATTTTGGAATCTCACGCGCACATTCTCTCTCACACTTCCCACTTTTTCGTGAAAAATCACGTGGGCCATGGAGACATGTACTCCTAATGCTATTGGGCCAGGTAGCACAGGTCCCAGCCGATCTGCGTGTCCCGGTTTCCAACTTTTGGTCATGAGGCCTGTTTTTATCTCTTTCCTTTTTCTTTTTTTTTTTTATTTTACTAATTCTCAATATCCAGAGAACATCTTACTAATTTAAAGTTGAGTTACAATAAATTTTGTAAAAGAAAATTTTTTTTTTCGTATTTATTTTCTATTAACAAAACTCAAAATCAAGATCTTATTTATGGACAACTAAGTTTCTCATACTCGAATTAATAACTCATTAGTATAAGACCTATTTAGTATAATTATTAAAATTTAATGGATAATAAGTAATAAATAGTAAATAACAGATACTAAATAATAGTTGTATAGTGGGTAGCTAATAAAGAAAAGTAGATAAAAGAAAGTAGGTAATAGATAGATAGAGGAAAATAAGTAGTACATAGTAGATAACAAATAGTAGATAA